ATATAGTACTAATATAAATATATAATATATATATATATATACATTAGTCATACACAATATATATACTAATATATATATATATATATATATTACAAAAAAGCAGCTCTATATTGTAACAAAATTTAAAATTATATTACATCAAACTTTAAAAAAATGATTTTAATTGTATTTCCATAAGGGGTCCATGAACATTTGAAAGGCCATTTGATCTATAAGAGCTAAATTAGCTGAATAAGCTTTTCACGAAATGCAGCTAGACGTCATAAGCCTAATGGCTGCGCGTCTGATCTGCGTATTTATAGTTGGTAACTTAAAACTGATTTCTACTTGAAATGATCAGAAAATTGAAATTATGAATTATGAACAGCAATCATAGTCGTTGACTACTAGAAAAATGTTTGCTGACTCTTTTGGAGGGGGGCTATATTGGGGGAGGAGCAAGATATAGCTTGGTTAGATTGTTCATTAATCCAGCCCTGTACACCACAACGGTTCATAGGTTTGAAATGCTCGAGACTTCACAAGGCAGACCGTTATCTAAATTATAATACACCACAACGGTTCATAGGTTTGAAAATCCCGAGACTTCACGAGGCAGACCGTTATCTAAATTCTAATACACCACAACGGTTCATAGATTTGAAAATCTTGAGGCTTCAAAATGTAGACCGTTATCTAAATTCTAATACACCACAACGGTTTATAGATTTGAAAATCTTGAGGCTTCAAAAGGTAGACCGTTATCTAAGTTCTAATACGCCACAACGGTTCATAGGTTTGAAAATCTCGAGACTTCACGAGGCAGACCGTTATCTAAATTCTAATACACCACAACGGCTCATAGATTTGAAAATCTTGAGGCTTCAAAAGGCAGACCGTTATCTAAATTCTAATACACCACAACGGTTCATAGGTTTGAAATTCTCGAAGCTTCACAGTCCAAACTGTTTATCACGAAAATTGAGTGTTTGCTTCCCCCAAAAAAATGTTTCTTCTTGTAATTCATCATTTTAGTCAGCCATTTAAAAATAGTTATAATCATGTGTTTTCTAATAACGAGGGTAAAGAATAATAGAATAATAAGAATAACAATAATAATAGAATATATACTACAATGTGCGTGTTTATTTTTGGATTATTAAGTTGCTAAAGAATTTTAAAAGCCAATTTTAATGGTAATAGGAAAACAGTATATTCTGTGAGAGCAGTGTATTCATTATTTTGAGGAAAGCATATGCACTTAAAGTTCAACGAATTTTACAGAATGTGTTCCATTTGTTGTCCTTATAATTCAAAACAAGTTTGGATTAACAGCAGGGTTAACTCGACCTTCTCATACTTTGACAGCACCATAATAAGTCACGTATCTGAAATTAAGAAAAGCTGCAAATCACGTATGGTTACAGACTTTTCGGACACCGATATATGCTGTCTATTTCAGTATGAATGGTGTCATTGGGCTCTAGAAACACCTACATCGTCGTTTGATGATATAGCAAACATTATAATATAATATAATGTTTAGGGACAACAAGGTTTATCTCTGAATCCTTACTGACAATTCAATATTATTTCTAAAACAAGGAGACCAAGACTGAAGATAATACTCTAAATATGGCCTAACCAATGACCTATACAGTAGCATTATGATCTTTACCAACTTGTATTAAATATTTCTGTAGATTCAACCTATAATCCTATTAGCAACAGCACATTGCTTGGACTATCAGCCAGAACACTAAGATCCATTTCTTCCATGACACTATTTAGGTTATTCCCGTCGAAATTACACTCATAATTCAAATTGTGATGTCCCACATGCATTATCCTGCATGGACCGTATTAGCAGTAATTTAAATCCTGATTGTTAATTATATATCAACTCACAGAATTATAATTATTAAAACTGAGGTCTGTATCAAAAAATCAATATTTTATAACATTTCGGAGCAATTCATTGATGTTAGATATTGAATTCAGAATTATACAATTAAATTAACTATTTGTTATAGTACTATACTCTAATATCGAGTAGTTAATTCAGAAATTTAACTCTTTATTTTATATCAACGAAATTACGTTAACACGCAATCATTTATAATTCGTTATTCTTCTTTTTAACTCGTGTATTTAAAAATATTATAATATTCAATTTCTTATAAGACGTATGACATAGGTAGTAATAGGGAATAATGTAAAATAAAACTGTTATAATGACAGACATGTACATTTAAAAATACATTTGTGGCTCCCAGAAGTCTATTTTTAATGAATGCCTACATATTACTAATGTTCTCCTTTTGGAGAGTATCATAGTGACCTCAGTCAGCAGAAAAAGATAAAAATATTCTAGAACAAAAATTTAAAATACGCATAGTAACTTACAAAATAGCTTAAGTACAGTATAAAACACCTAAAAACATAAAAATATTATTATGTTCAAAACCCTAGTAAACAATGCATTTAAATCACATTGATATAAAAGACCTAAAAACATAAAATTATTATTATGTTCAAAAACCTAGTAAACAATGCATTTAAATCACATTGATATAAAACACCTAAAAACATAAAATTATTATTATGTTCAAAAACCTAGTAAAAATGCATTTAAATCACGTTTATATAAAACACCTAAAAACATAAAATTATTATGTTCAAAACCTAGTAAACAATGCATTTAAATCACGTTGATATAAAACACCTAAACATGAAATTATTATTATGTTCAAAACCTAGTAAGCAATGCATTTAAATCACACTGATATTGATTTTTCTACATACCCGTTACACATCAACCACTGTGGGCTAGGCACGGCCCAGTGGTTAGAGGGTCAGGTTTTAAAGCTGAGGTTCAATGGCTCGTGTCCCGTTATCGCCAGAAAAAAAAAATGCACCCTGTACTTTAGGACATGGATGCGTAAAAAGAGTGGCGGCCAAATCCCACTATTCGGTCTGACAGGAGTGGTCCAAGAGTTGTCGGTGAGTGCGGTTGACTAACTGCTTACCCACTAGTTTGTAACTTCAAAACTAGGGACGGTTAGCGAAGATAGCCCTCGTGTAGCTTTGTGCAAAATCCTACAAAAAAGAAAACATCGTAACGGTAACCTCCTAACTTTTCTTCAGTCGCCATTATCATTCATATCTAAACTTAGCTACTAGATGATCCTTCAGTCGTTCAATTTGTATCCTGTTTAATAAAGATTAATTTAAATTACTTGGGTAGAAATACAATCTTCAAAGTTACATTATGCCCTGCCCTTTTTGTAGTTATACTTTGTATAATTTTTTTTCTGGAAATATTAATTTACGCATTGTTCTAAAGTACAATGATTTTTTAAAAATTGTTCTTTTAATTTTCTTTCTTTTTTTTTTTACTTTTCGTTTGTTTGTTTGAAGTTAAACACAAAGCAACACAGTGGGCTACCTGTGCTCTGCCCACCACGGGT